TTGCTGTTGTTGTTGTTGTTGTTGTTGTTGTTGTCGTGGTTGTTGCTGTTGCTGTTGCTGTTGCTGTTGCTGTTGCTGTTGCTGTTGCTGTTGCTGTTGCTGTTGCTGTTGTTGTTGTTGTTGTTGTTGTTGTTGTTGTTGTTGTTGTTGTTGATGTTGTTGTTGTTGTTTATTTATTCTTTTTTGCTTACATCGCTAGGGGTTCTGGGGATCCATTCGGGGAGCCTCTTTGTGGCCAGGCCCGCCGGGGCCAGGAATGCACCTTCGCTCCCTGCGTGGCGCTCCCTCTGTGGTGGCGCGATGGCTGGCGGATGGCCGGAGCGACCGCGCGGCGCGACTCGGCGGGCCTGCCTGCTGTTTTTCCTCCTCCTCCTCCTCCTCCTCCTCCTCCTCCGTCTCCTCCTCCTCCCACCTCCTCCTCCCACCTCCTCCTCCTCCTCCTCCGTCTCCTCCTGCTCATCCTCTTTTTTCTCCTCCTCCTCCTCCATTCTTTTTTCCTTATAGTTAACTTCTCCCTATCGCACCCCGAGGCCAGTTTTTGGGGCGCTCCGGGGCGTTTCGCCTGAGACCTTTGCACCATTCATGACCTTGAAGCTTGAACATTGACAGCAGTGTCACAGATGCAGGGCAGGTGGTTTTCAAAATGTGGCTCCTGCCTTAGTGCTGCGCACATTCGTTGTAAAAACTTGCAAGAACTTCACGGATTGAGGGCGGTTGCTTTTCAAAATGTGGCCCTCGCTTTAGCGCCGCGCACATGTGTTCTAAACATTTGCAAGAGTTTCACGGATTAAGGGCGGTTCTTTTTCCCATTGTGGCTCTCTCCTCAGCGCTGCGCGCATTCGTTAAACAAACATTGCAAGTGTTTCTCGGATTGAGGGTGATCTTCAAAAAGGAAGGCCCGAAACTCCCCGGGAATTACCGCCCCATCACGATATTGCCGATGATGTACAAACTCTTGCCACTCGTTCTCAATGGACGCCTTGATGCATTTTTTTGGGAAGCCGGCGATCCACAGACCAAGCGGGCTTCGGAAGGGGTACTGCTGCGAATGCCACTTGGTGACGGCAAGGGAATTCAACATAGCTGTTCGGGTTGCCGCGGTGGGTTTTGAACATTCGTTTGATTCCGTGAGCAATTCTGCAATGTGGAACGCTTTGAGAGAACAAGGGGTCCCTGAGCCTTACGTGCACGAGCTGAGGTGATTGTACACGGGACAAACGGGACTCGTTATTTCTGACTACCAGAGCCGTCCGCTTGATTTAGGACGGGGCACCAAGCAAGGTGATCCAATGTCTTCCGCGATATTCAACGCACATGCGAAAGCAGAAGGAAAATTGGAGGGTGGCCAGACTCGGTTTCAGAATGCGTCCGTGGACCTTGATTAAATTACGGTTTGCATATGACATATTTCTCATGGGTCGACCAGAGCGCACGTGCGAATAATGCTGGGAGACTTGAGCGAGTTCGCGGCTGAATGCGGGCTAAAGATCCACATGGGCAAAACCAAGCTCATGTCGAACGTGCAACAGCGCAGAGGTGTCCTACGACAACGTCACGTGAAGGTGGGAGAAGGACAGGTGGAGGTACCTTCCATCGGCGACAGAACGGCGTACCTTGGCAGACAGCTCACTTTCGGAGACTACCACGACAAGGAGATCAGACATCGAATATCGAAAGGTTGGGCAGCTTTTGGACGTTTCAATTCGGAGTTGTGTAACAAACATTACTTGCCGAGATCCAGATTCCGATTGTTCGACGCTGTCACATCTTCTACTTTTCTATACGGGTGCGGGTCATGGACACTCACCACGGAACGATCGGAAAAACAACTCAACGTGGCCATGCGCAACATGCTCAGGAAGATCGTCGCCGTTGGCACGGCGCCAGATGAGTCTTACGTCGACTGGATCGTGCGAGCCACGCATCGTGCAGAGCAGGCGTCTGATAGGTTTGGCTTCCCCACGTGGTTGCGAGCGCAGGAGCAGCGCAAGTGCAGACTCTTAGAGAGACTCCAGACGTGGACGGATCGGCGCTGGGGAAGCTTTGCGCTGCAGTGGGGCCCGATTGGAAGGAGGTCCAGTGGGCGCCCTGTGAAGCGGTGGACAGACTTAAAGTTTTGTTCTTGTATTTCTTGTCTGCTATTTCTTGTTTGGTGCGTGCAAGAATCATGGAGAAGCCAGGGTGTGAACACTTTGAAGACTGGGGCGTGCGAGAATCATCAAGAAAGTGGGGCCCGCGCGCGCAGCAACCCGCGCAGGGCGCGCTCCGGCGTCAACCTCGCCCTTTTCTTGGTTTGATCAACCGAAGAGCTTCCTTTCTTTCCGCTTCTGCTCCTCGGTGCGCCGCTCACGCTCTTTTCCGCTCTTATCCTTCGCCCTCCTTCTCTATCCTTAGCCGCTCCCTGCCCCCATTGTCCGTCATTCGGTTGGCCCCAGAAGTGGCCTTCGAGGCTTTGGTATCAGACCTCCCCTCCTCTCTTCTTCGTCCTCCCTCCCCTGCGTGACTGTCCAGACCGTTGCGGCGCGTGCGCGAAACAAAAAACCCAAAAGACACAACAAGCACAAAACAACACAAGAGAACGCAGCAACAACACAACACAGCCACACAAGAGTACCGAACGGAACATACACCACCGCACAAAACCACAAACACCACACACATGCACACAAACATGACCAACTTATGGCTTTGGTTTTGCACACACACACACAAGCACGGTTTCTTTTTCGAGCTGTTGCTCTCGCCTTAGCGCCGCGCACAGTGGTGTTTTTGTTCTTTTAAGAAAAAGGATTCGGATTTTGAGGGCGCGGCAGTCACGTTGATTCGCGGTGTTGAAGTCCCAGGAATTGGTTTCTGGCACGATTCAGGATCGTCAACACGCAACAGTCAAGTTGACCCATGGCGGTGGAATCCCGAGAACGATGTTTTGGCATGCGTTAGGGTCTTCAAACGGTCGCTTCCAACGAGGCAGTGCTCTCTGTGGAGAAGGGAGCTTGGAAAAGGGGGGGGGTATTCCAATAGAGTTGATGATTCGTGGGTTTGCATTGGTCCTCCTCCTCCTCCTCGTCTCCTCCCCTTCCTCCTCCTCCTCCTCCTCCTCCTCCTTCTCCTCCTCCTCCTCTTCCTCCTCCTCCTCCTCCTACTCTTCCTCCTCCTCCTCCTCCTCCTCCTCCTCCTCCTCCTCCTCCTCCTCCTCCTCCTCCCCCTCAACTGGGACATCCCCCCCGCCGCCTTCGGACGCGCCCCGTCCTCCCCTCCTCCTATTCCTCCTCTCCCCCTTCTCTCTTACCTCCTCCCCTCCTCTCCTCCTCCTCCTCCTCTCCCCCTCTTCCTCCTCCTCCTCCTCCTATCCCTCCTTCCTCCTCATCCTCCTTCCTCCCCCTCTTCCTCCTCCCCTCTCTCCTTCTCCTCCCTCTTCCTCCTCCTCCTACTCCTCACCTCGTCCTCCTCCTCCTCTCTTCCTCCTCCCTCCTCTTCCTTCATCTTCCCTTTCTCCTTTTCCTCATCCTCCTCCTCCTCCTCCTCCTCCTCCTCCCCCTCCCTCCACAATTATTCAATATGAAAATACTCTCCCTCTTCCCCTGATGGCGTCCGGGTGATGGCCGCGCACCCTCCGCGTACTGTTTTTTTACACAGGATTCCCGGGAAATCCCGGGAAACGACTCTCGCTGAGGCGCCGGCGTCATTTTTTCCCAAAATGCTGCTCTCGTTGAGGCGCCGGCTTCATTTCTGCTCCCGAATCGTTCCGAATCGTGCTCCCGCTGCAGCGTGGGCCTCATTTTCGGATCGGTGTTTGGCCTCCGTCGTTCAGGATGGCGTTCTCGCCCCAGCGCGGGCCTTTTTCTCGCGCGCCCATCCGCCCGCCACCACCGCGCCGCACCGCCACCAACACCACACCACCACCACCACCACCACCACCACCACCACCACCACCACCACCACCACCACCACCACCACCACCACCACCAACCACCACCACCACCAGCACCACCACCACCAGCACCACCACCACCACCACCACCACCACCACCACCACCACCACCACCACCACGACAACCACGCAAACACGCACGCACGCACGCACGTGCACCACCACCCACTACGCACGCGCGCGCGGAGTCACAGGTCCGCTACGACACGCGTCCGCGGATAGAGAAAATCAGCGCCATGGTAAGGGATGGGAGGGAGGGGTAGGACGTCAGATATGACGCGAGCGCACCTAGCTTGTCCTCCCCCTCCTCCTCTCCTCCCCGTCCTCCTCCTCCTCCTCCTCCTCCCTCCTTCCCTCCTCATCCCCACTCCTTCCCCCTTTCTCTTCCTCCTACTCCTCCCCTCCTATTCCTCCTCCTCTTCTTCCTCCTCCTCCTCCTCCTCCTCCTGCCCCTCCTCCTCCTCCTCTTCCTCCTTCTCCTCCTCCTCCTCCTCCTCCTCCTCTTCCTCCTTCTCCTCCGCCTCCTCCGCCTCCTCCTCGTCTGGCGCTCCCCTCCTCCTCGCTGCTTCCTCCGTCTGTATTCACGTGCAGGGAAGGGGCCTGCGAGGTGGCGCGTCTGACCGTGGTGGGGCGTGCTGTGTCACGTGGATGCGAGTTCGCGGAGCGCCGTGACTGCATCCCGTTTTTCCTCGTCTTCCTCGTCCTGCCTGTCTTGATACACGGAGTGGCCAGACGCCCCGACCCATTCCCAGGGGCCCGTGCTGCATCACGGGCCGCTCTCCGAAGGCCCCAAGCGCCCCCCCCCCCCCCCCCCCCTCCGCGTATACTGTTGACCTCCCCCTTGCTGTTGGAGGAGTCGGACGGCTCCGACAGCGGCAGCGACGAGCCGATCAGCGTCGGCCCGTCCGAGAGCGGCAGCGAGGGAGGCCCCGGGGGCGGCCTGGGCGGCGGCCCCCTCGGGGGCCCCGGGCGGGGCCGCCCGGGCGCGGGCCAGCAGGGCCCGGGCGGGGAGGCCGCGGTGTCCATCGGCGGCAGCGTCTCCGACGACGACATCCTGAACGAGTCGGAGGAGCGGAGAGCGCCAAGAGCTTATGTTTTGAGGGTCTGGGTGGTAGCGGCCGCGATCGGCCCTCGCCCGCCCCTGCCCCCATCCCCCCCAGGATCACTTCGCGCTCTGTCGCCCACGTTTTTGCAGAGGGATTCTTTAGAGAGGAGTTCTGGAGGATGCGAAGAAGGGTTCCTAGGACTCCTGGGGAATCTGGGCCTAAAGGGTTGCTAGGGTTCCTAGGGTTCCTAGGGTTTTTCTTTAGGAATCCCAGGGGATTCCTCAAGAGGATTCCCAGGATCTCTTCGGGATCCTAGAAAGGACTCCTAGGATTTCTTCCGGATTCTCAAGGCCTCCCAGGCGGGGTCGGAGCAGGCGCAGCGCGCTTGCCCCGAGTGCGAATGCGAACGACTGGGCCGTGAAGGCATGCAAGGAGGAAATATCTCCCCCGAGAGGGGCGGCCCCCCTCGGGCCAAGGCACGGTTGAGGCGGCCCGGCCGAAGGCAAAACCAGGGCCCACCCAGCGCCGAGGTCCCCCCCCCAGCCATGAACAGGCTATCGGGCGACCCGACAGGGCCGCAAAGCCGCATCCTGAGACACCAGGCTTAAGTCGGGCCTGTCCCTCCCTACAGGAGGAATACTCAGAAATAGTCAAACATAGTCTGGGGATGTTCTTGTTGTTGTTGTTGTTGTTGTTGTTGTTGTTGTTGTTGTTGTTGTTGTTGTTGTTGTGACTATTCTGGAGTTTTTTTTTGGGGGGGCTATTTCTTATTGTTCGTTTAGAAAAACCGCCTGCCAGAGGACGTGCCCGACCTCACACCCGACAGCAGGCAGCCTGCGGTGCAGGGACACCAGAGGGCCAGAGGGAGCCGCGGGGCTCTCGCCCCGAGCGGCCCCCTCCTGCGGTGGTCTGCCTCCGGCCCCCCCCCCTTCCGGGGTAAGGCGGCCTCTCCGGGCGCCCGGCCCGACCCCTTGGGGGGGGGCAGCGGGGCGCGTGCGGCCAGTCTGGGCCTCACAGGGCCAGGAGGGGGAAAGCACACACAGGCACAGTTCATCGTCGATTCCCGGGAAGATGTGCGGGAAGACGGGGACAGCGGGGGGGGGGGGGGAAGACGAGGCCCAGGACATGCGGAAACGTGTGGGGGATCCTGGGGTTCGCGTATGTTGGTGTTTGTGTGTGTGTGTGCGTGTGTGTCCCGGGGCCCCTCTACAGGGGTGGGGTCGGAGCACAGTGGGAACCCATGCCGAGAACCCCCCTGCTTGCCTCTGGGGTGCCCTGGGGTTCTTGGGTGGGGTCTCGGTGGTTTGCTGTGGAGAGCGTGGCGTTCCCACGCCAAGAAGCGATGGAAGACCTGGGGCCGCCTCAGGGTTGGGTTTCTTGTGGAGGGTATCTTGTGGTCGAGCTCCTACTGCAGATGGGGTCGGAGGATCGCGCCGCATTGCCGATGCATCGCCGATGCGGCTCGATGTCGAGCCCGATTTTCTCCACGCCCACGTTGCCGATGCATTGGCCATGCGGCGCGATCCTCCGACCCCATCTAATCTGACCCCGTCTAGGAAGCCTCTGGAGGAGGCAGGCCTTCTCAGAGGGCGACGGGGCATCTCAGAAGCCCCTCCGGCCTCCCGAGAAGTTTGCTGCGTCTTTGGGAAGGCTTCGACAACATCTCAGAAGGCCCGAGGCTTTCCGAGCCTTCTGAGAAGGCCCGCCCCTTCTCACTTCCCCCCTGGGCTCGCTGCTGAAACCAGCCAGACCTCCTCGCGCAGGGAAAAATCACGGCGCACTGATTATTACATATATATATATGTATATATATATATATGTTTTTACATGAAGAGGTAAAAAGAACAACTATTGTGGATCCCCCCGGTGCCAATTATGTTTTTCCAATAAAAGTGCTCCTCCCTGGCCTTGCACATTGTTTTTGACATGGGAAAGACTTGGGGCTCAGATTGGCCCCCTGGACCTCGGCTTAGCTTCAGCATCCCGCCTGCTCGACATGGCCGCTTGGGGCCGCCTTCCCGATCCACCCGTCTGGTGCGGCCACGTGTTTTCTGCTCTTCCCCCTCCTGCTCATCCCGTGCTCCATGCTTCTCCCTCCCCTTTCTGTCCGTCCTCTCTTCCTGGCATACCGCGAGGGGGGTACGAGCGAAGACGAAGAGGCGCGCATCGTGAGCTTGGAATATACGTGTTGACTGGCACGCGAGCTGGTAAAAGCGAACAGCCTGAACATGATTGTTCTCATTGTTGTTGATGATGTTGCTGTTGCTGTTGCTGTTGCTGGTGTTGTTTGTTTGTTTGTTTGTTGCTGTTATTGCGCTGTTGCTGTTTTTTTGTGTTGTTGTTGTTGCTGTTGCTGTTGTTGTTGCTGTTGTTGTTGTTGTTGTGGTTGTTGTTGTTGTTGTTGTTGTTATTGTTGTTGTTGTTACTGTTGTTGTTGTTGTTGTTGTTGCTGTTGCTGTCGTCGTCGTCGTCGTCGTCGTTGTTGTTGTTGTTGTTGTTGTTGTTGTTGTTGTTGTTGTTGTTGAACTCTCATTTCTGAGGAATAATTGTTGTTGATCCCCCCCGTTCGGTGCACATTGTTTTTTTTTCCAATTGAAGTGCCCTTCCTGGGGCTCGCACCTTGTTTCTTTATCAGGGAAAGTTTTGAGCGTCAATTTGTGTCGTTGGCCCCCGGTTTACAACAACAACAACAACAACAACAACAACAACAACGGCTTCCGCCTGAGACGTCCTCACAATTTAGCCAGGCCCTCTGCTCCCGCCCGAGACTTCCTCGCGTTTCATTCAGGAATCGCGCTCTCGCTTGGGACCTCCTCAGAATTTATTCTCCCGGCGCTCTGGAGTCGCGCTCTCGCTGGAGACTTGCTTGCAATTTACTGAAGAATAGCGCCCTTGCGTTGGAATTTCCTGCGATGTACTCAAGCGCCGCGCTCCCGACACCCGGGCACCCAGGAGTCGCGCTCACGCTTACGACTCCCTCACAGATTACCTAGGAATCGGGATCTCGCTGCCCTTCGTGGCCCCGTGGCAGCCTTTCGTGGCCCCCTCGCTTTGTTTCGTGGTCCCGTTGCAGCCCTTCGTGGCCTACTCGCTGCCCTTCGTGGCCCCGTTGCAGTCCTTCGTGGCCCCCTCGCTTTGTTTCGTGGCCCCGTTGCAGCCCTTCGTGACCCCCTCGCTGCCCTTCGTGGCCCCGTCGCAGCCCTTCGTGGCCCCGTTGCAGCCCTTCGTGGCCCCCGTCGCAGCCCTTCGTGGCCCCCTCGCATCCCTTCGTGGCCCCCTCGCTGCCCTTCGTGGCTCCATCTATGTATGCCCTTCGTGGCCCCCGCTCGTTAGCGCCCGTGGTGGCCCCATATGCATCTGTCCTACGTGTCCCCGTTGCTACCCTCAGTGGCCCCGTCGTTGCCTTCTGTGGCCCCGCATTATCTGCCCTTCGTGGCCCCCGCTCGTTCGTGCTTTTCGTGGCCCCATACGCATTCCCTTCGTGTCCCCGCTGTTGCCCTTCGTGGCCTACTTCGTGTCCTTGTGGCCCTGCTGTCGTTTTCTTTCGCTCTCGCTTTCGCTCGTCGTCGTCGTCGTCGCCGTCGTCGTCGTCGTCGTCGTCGTCGTCGTCGTCGTCGTCGTCGTCGTCGTCGTCGACGTCGTCGTCGTCGTCGACGTCGTCGTCGTCGTCGTGGTCGGTCCCCTGTCCGTCCCTCTTGGGGTCGGGTCGACGGTCCGCGGCCGCCCCGCCGATCAGCGCTGCTGCTGGCCAGGCCGACGGTCCGCGGCTGCCCCGCCGCTTGCCAGGGCCCGGCCTGCAGGGAAGAAAGGTATACCCCCTGAAAGGGGCTCGATCGAAGACGAAGGGGGCGGGTATCGAGGGTTTGGGAAATAGGCGTTATTGGACACTCGAGCAGATACGGGCGAACAGTCTTAACATGATTGTTGTTGTTGTTGTTGTTGTTGTTGTTGTTGTTGTTTAACTTTCATTTCTGAAGAATAATCATTGTTGATCCCCCACCAGTGCACATTGTATTTTTTTAATTGAAATGCCTTTCCCTGGGCTCGCAACATTATTATATGGATATATATATATATCATAATATAATTATTATATATCTATATAATATATATACAATATATTCATATATATATATTATATATCCGGGGAAGTCTTGAGGCTCAAACTGGGCCCCTGGCCCCCGGGTTACAATAACAACGGCCCCATTTGACATTTCTTTTCAATTTAGAACGGACCCCCACTCCCGCCTGAGACTTCTTCGTGTTTTATTATGGGATCGCGCTCTCGCTTGGGACTTCTTGCAATTTATTCAGGAGTCGCTGTCTCGGCGGTCTGGAGTCGCGCTCTCGCTGGAGATGTGCTTGCAATTTACTTTAGGAATGGCGCCCTTGCGTTTGAATTTCCCGCAATTTGCTCAAGCGCCGCGCCCCCGACACTCAGGCACCCATGAGTCGCGCTCACGCTTGGGAATCCCTCACATATTATTTAGGAATCGGGATCTCGCTGCCCTTCGTGGCCCCGTAACCGCCCTTCGTGGCCCCCTCGCTGCCCTTCGTCGCCCCGTTGCAGCCCTTCATGGCTCCCTCGCTGCCCTTGGTGGTCCCGTTGCACCCCTTCGTGGCCCCCTCGCTGCCCTTCGTGCCCCCGTTGCAGCCCTTCGTGGCCCCCTCGCTGCCCTTCGTGGCCCCGTTGCTGCCCTTCGTGGCCCCCGTCGCAGCCCTTCGTGGCCCCGTTGAAGCCCTTCGTGGCTCCCTCGCTGCCCTTAGTGGTCCCGTTGCACCCCTACGTGGCCCCCTCGCTGCCCCTCGTGGCCCCGTTGCTGCCCTTCGTGGCCCCTCGCTGCCCTTCGTGGCCCCGTTGCAGCCCTTCGTGGCCCCCGTCGCAGCCCTTCGTGGCCCCGTTGCAGCCCTTCGTGGCCCCCTCGCTACCATTCGTGGCCCCGTTGCTGCCCTCCGTGGCCCCCGTCGCAGCCCTTCGTGGCCCTATACATTTATGCCCTTCGTGGCCCCCGCTCGTTCGCCC